CTACAACTCTTTTCCTTTACTGTACAAAATTACATGAACAGGTATCTTCTGCATTTATTCTCCACCTGGAAGAAGAACACTTCACCTCTAGATCTTTGCATGGCTCATAAAGGGAGGAGTAACATTCTTTCTCTGGGCATGCTTTTTGAAAAACAGCACCATACTGTTCTGGCCCCCAGTTTCCTTACTGTGTTTCATTTCCTCTTCCTATGATTTATTGCTACCTGTCTTTCTTTATACATTTATTGGCTCACAATCTCTTTTACTAGAATTAGAATGTAAGCTCTAAGAAGGTGAGCAATATCTAATTATAGAGTCTGGAAGAGAGTGTAGGACATGACATGCACTCAAATACACACTGAATAAATGAACTGAAAGTAGATAGGTAAAAAAGTAACCTTATTATCAACCTTAAATAATTTATGTTAGAGAAATTTTATTAATATATAGGTTTCTTAAGGTTTTGTTTTTTAAGTTTAGAGGGTAGGAGGAGAAAATGCTTTTGGAAAGAGAACTGAAGAGGAAATTTAAATTGTAAGTTAGAATTTTCTTTGGCTTTAGGTTAATCTTCTTTTCTGATATAAATAAAATTAAAATTAAAAGGATAAATTGTAATAAGGGCCGTGTCCTTGGTTACACAAAATTTTCTTCATAGCATCTCTTAAGTTTTTTAAATGTATTAATGCCAAAAATTCATCTCACTAAGAACTCTGAATATAGTAGAAAGGCTTTTGACTATAAATATCTATTACATGGTATATATTTTCAGATCCAACAGAGTAGAAAAGTTCCACACAAGAATGTATGGATGTCTTGGGTTCCCTACAAATCTATCTCAAATAATCCCGAAGAATTTAAATTACTCACCTCATAACACAAGAAAGAATTCTATTTATAAAGTATAAATATACAAAGAAAAGAAATTAAAGACATTACATAATAAATATTGACCTTTTTAGATCTACCTTCTCAAGCACAGGCACTTTAATTAAATTTAAATTACCTGTACAAGGGCATAGATAACCGTGTTCTATACTTACTTGCATGTACTCTGAAAGTTCAAAATAGGCCCTTCCGATTTGGCACAGTACCCAACCAGTATTGTAGTGATGAGAAGGTAGGTGGCTCAAGATATTTATAGCTTCTTTGCAGTTGTATGAACACAAAGCTAAATAACCTTTCCCCATTTCACGAAGGAGGCTCATCAGACCTTCTGGGAGAAAACAATGTAGTAAACGAAGGAGAAAAACGTAACACAACAGTTTGGTTTTCTGGAAAGGGTAATTACAAAATAATTCATTAAAAATTCCAACATCTACCTAGAAAAAAACTGAAAGAACTTTAACGAACATAAGGAAATTTACTTAAAATAAGTGAATAAAATAAAATAAAGTACAAAGAAGATATTAAGCATTTAAAACAGACCTGCTGCTGCTTTCTGTAGATTAAATGCCTGGATCTGGGGTGTGATAGTGGAGATTTTTCCTTCTGAAATGATGGAAGAGTCCAATTTTGTAATTTCCAGGCTATCATTTATGTTTGGTTGAGTTATTCCTCCTTTATTAGTTTTACTTTTTGTTTTTCTGTTTGGGATTTTAGGTGGAAACTTCATTTTTAATTTTTTGCTATTTTCCTGTAAAAAGGAGGAACGCCCCACACTTGTTACACTCATGTATTTTAGACATTCTCCCAACCATTTCTCAAATGTTAGATATAAATAAGTGTACAATCTTGACTGATGTATATTTTTCTCAGAAGATATTTTATAAAGTAAGTCTTCAAAGTCACTTAATTTTAAATGAAATAATTCTGAAAATAAATCATGTTAACTAAGTAGTATTTAAGGTAAATTAGCATTAAATATAATATTGCTCTATTCTGAAAGTATATCACTTTCATTTATTTTTTAAAAATAAGAAAATAAGTGGATGCAATACTACCTAATAGTCTCAGGACATCATAAACTGTTGATCTGTATATGTCAATTAAAGATTGCCCATAATATTTGTCAATGGACCAAGAAAATTTATCAGTGGCATAATGAGGCCCTCAGCTGTGCAAAGAAATGTGCAAAGAAAACAGAACATTTCCATTTATTCTTTCCCCAATTTTCACCAATGATAACATCTGACATAACTATAGTACATTATCCAATCCAGGAAAATGGAATTGGTGCAATACTATTAACTAACTTTCAGATATTATGTGGATTTCATCAACTTTTACATGTATCTTTTTTTTCTTTTTTTGGTGTGTATAGTTCTATGAATTTTATCACATGTATGGATTTATGTAATCAACTGCCACAATAAAGATACAGGGCTGTTTTACCGAACACAGAGAAATTCCCTTGTGTTATGCTGTCATAGTCACACCTCCCTCAAGTCTTAACTCCTAATAACCATTGATCTGCTCTTCATCACAATTTGTCATTTTAACAATAAAGGCCCAAGAAAATGTACAAACGTTATAGACTGCCCTTCAAATTAAAAAACATTAAAACAATTTTAAACAGTCACCTCATTTACTTATTAGAGATTGAGTCACTCATGAATAGAAATTTTAGAGGGGAAGCATTAAGCAAATGTGACATACAAAAATCTTTAAATTACCTTGGTTGTAGAGCTGTCACTAGTAAAAAGTCGTGAACTTCTTCGAGGCAGTGCATTTGGGGGAGATGTGATAGTGGGGCTCAATACCTGAGGTGTTGTACTAGAAAAAAATGATAAAAGTAGACTTTTTTAAAAAAACTCAGTTTATGACCATTAACTATTGCTTCAATTCAGGTATATTACAAAATACACATTCAACATGTTTGCACCCTAAAGTTGATGAGTTTGGTCAGTCCTTTTCTTGCCCCTCTATGAAGTCAGATTTAAAAACTATTCACGTTACTATAAAATAATCAAGATTATACCACAGATCTTCGCTCTATTTGAAATTGCTAATTTGAACTAAAAACAATCCACATAAAAATTCTGGGTCAATAAATGGTAAACACATCTAAAAAGTTTTCTCTCAAATTTAGCCCTCATTTGCAAGTATAGCAAGTCAGAGAAAAAGGAAGATAGTAGGACATGGACAGTCTAAATGTAGGGATATTTGCCACTAGAACAATTGATACTTGAGAATCCATTTCCCTGTAAATTCAAACAACCACATCAAGGTTAATAGAGCAAAAGGAATCTAATAATCACTAGGATACATTTTTTACTTTAAAGGCAAACCCCAAAAATTACAAGAATTCCATTCTTAGAAAGCAAGCAAACTTAAAACCTAAAATTATTTAATACAGGTAGGTGAATCTATGGAGCAAACTGTTTACAGTTTATACAGTTTACAGGAAACCCTACTAGTGACCTGAGTTTGGGTCAAACAGGTTTCTGAAAAGAGATGCAGGTTGTCATTAATCTTTTCAAAACACAGAATCTTAATGCAGGGATTTCAGTAAGTGAGGTCATTTGGGTTGACCAATTAAATTTTTTAACTATAAATTTTTAAATTAAGACTATTTTAAAGAGATTAAGGTTTACAGCAAAATTGAGGGGAAGGAGCAGATATTTCCCATATATTCTCTGCCCTCCCATATGCACAGCCCCCCCCCACACACTGTCAAGATCCTCCACCACAGTGGTACAATTGTTATAGTTGATAAACCTATAGTGACACATCATTGTCATCCAAAGTCCACAGTTCACATTAAGAGTTCACTCTTGGTTTTGTACATTCTATGGGTTTGGACAAATGTATGATGACATGTATCCATCATTATAGTATCATGCAGAATATTTTCATTGCCCTAAAAATCCTGTGCTCTGCCTGTTCATCTCTCCCTGTCCAACCCTTGAGAACCACTGACTGATCTTTCTACTGTCTGCATAGTTTCGCTTTTTCCAGAAACCAATTCATTTTCCTTTATTTGGTAGGAACAACTGCATCATTTATACTACAAATGTGAATTATCATCTGTCAATAAGATTACCTAGTTATAGAAAAAAGTTTTGCCTGAGAGGTAGGAGGGACTAATTTCATAGCATGGAACAGCACATATGGAGGACAACCCTGAGAAAGACACTGAGGATGCTTTAAACAGACAGAAGCCTGAATGAGGGCAACATAAACCTTGTGGAGACAAAAGTAAAAATGACTAAGAGGGTTCTGCAATTGAGGGGTGAATGAAGACAAACTCTCCCTATAATTTTCATTAGAATTCTGTTAGCTCCAAAGGGCCATATGACAAAAGAAAAAAAAGTTAAAAAGTCTGAAAGGCACCAGAAAAATGAATCAGGATACTGAGTTTGAAACGTTGGTTATATCATATGAGGCGCGTGCGCGTGTGCGTGTGTGTGTATGTGTGTGTATATACACTTTTTTATTTTGGTTTTTTGTTTGTTTTTTTTTAGCTGAGCCCTCCTGCCACCTGTTGGCAGCTCAGCTCGGGCCAGGAATCGAACCGCTGCTGCTCAGAGCTCAAACTCTTGAGCGAGCTCTTAACCAACTGAGCCATTCGGCAGGCCCTATATATATATATATATATTCTTATAACTTGCTTCTGTTTAACAAGGAGTTTGACACTGAAAGGTGTGTGCTCCAGAATCAGACTGTTGAGGTTTGAAATCAGACTCCCCCACTTACTAATGTGATTATGTGCTAGTTATATTAAATACTTTTAAAAAAAACGCTTTTGTAAATAGCATCATTTTATGGCTTTGTAATAAAAAATGGAATGTTCTAGGAGTTATACATAATGCCTTGGAAAGTTACAGGAATGATTTTTAGAGGCTAGCATATGTGGAGAAAGTGATGACAAAGACTTCCTGGGGTGATTAGCTAAGAGTATTATGCTATTCCAATCATTTCTAAAAAACAACTTTCTCAATAAGAGAACAGACTTCTGCTGCCAATTATGAAGAAGTAATATGGACCAGATTTATTCTCCCATCTTAAACAAGTATAACACTGAACAAATGCACGAAACAATGTTTTTCAGACACTGGAGAGCAGGCAGCATGTGTCTGAGGCGCGTTCTGGGGATGCGGTGCAGGGACGTAGAACACAGAGCTCAGTGGTCTCCCCGTGTTGAGAAGAAAATGCGGAGACTTCAGGGAAGCCAAGGCAGCTAGAATTTGCAGGTCAGAGTACCTGAAAGGAGAGAGCTACAAAGAGGGGAGCTCCAAAGATCTGCAGGAGGCGTACTTAGAGTCTTCAGTTGAAAACTGACCAGTTTAAGTGTTTGACTGTTGTACAAAACAGAATTCATCTGGTCTTTGTCCCAGGTTCTCAGGAAGAAGCTTCTAAATCCTAATTTCCCAAGTGATAGGAATGTTTCCCAAGTGATAGTTATGCATGGTGGGCCCCTGGGACCATACCTGCGTTTATGCTAATGAAGTGACTCATGGTGGACCCCCCTGGTGGACCCCCAGATAGTTTTAAGATGAGGGGTTGGCCATGATGGAAAGATCAGCGAGGTGATTAGAGGGTTGGGGCTCTGAGCCATGTGATATCAGCCTGACCACCTCCAGAAGGAGAGGCGGGCTGGGGATTGAGCTCAATCATGTGGCCAATCTATCTTGCCTACATAATGAAACCCCAATAAAAACTCTGAACATCAAAGCTTGGTTGAGCTTCCTGGTTGGTGAACACATCAATGTGCAGAGAGGGGGACACATCTTGGTTCCACAGGGAGAGGACACAGAAGTTCTGTGTTCAGGACCCTCCCATGCCTTACCCTATGGGCCTCATTTCTCTGATCCTGCTTTGTATCGTTTATAACAAAACTGATAAGTATAGCCTAGATTCTGTGAGTTGTTCTAGCAAATTATTAAACCTAAGGGGGTAGTGGGAACCCTCAAATTTATATCCAGTTGGTCAGAGTGTGGGTGGCCTGGGGAACATCTGAACTTGCAACTGGCAAGTCAATGAGACTTGATGACAATCTCGTTGGGACTCTGGCCTTAGCCTGTAGAGTCAATGCTAAATCTGGGTAGTTAGCATCAGAATTACCTTACACTATTGCAGTGAGGAAAACTACCTGAATCTGGGGAAAGAACTACTGGAAATGAGCAGGCAGAATAATTCTTGGAACTCACCTTGGGCTGGGAATAGTTCACATTTTCAATAGCCAGAGTAAAGAAACTTGATACTAAATAGGCCATTGAGTAGAGTACTCAAAGGGGCAAAATTAGTCCAGACTAAAGGCTGCTTTTGCCCCACCTAACAAAACTTAAAAAGCAAGACCTAAAAGGATAAAACTGTTAATAAGTAACTTAACTGTATCCCAGAACAAAACTTAAATACACGCAGAAGAATACAAAAAAGTCCAGCACTCAACAATGTAAAATTTCCAATAGATGGCACCCAATCAAATTTATTTCCAATAAATGGCATACAAAAAAGCAGAATACCATAACCTACACAGAAGAGAAAAACCAATCAATAAAAAAACAGACCTAGAAATCAAACAGTAAGACTTAGTAGACAAGGTTATTAAAAGAACTATTATAAATGTATTATATATGATCAAAAAGGTAGAAGAAGGAATGGGCATATTAAGGAGAGAACCAAATCAAACTTCTAAAGATGAAAGGCAGAGTGCCTGAGGTAAAAATTATATGTGTGTGAGTGAGTGTGTGAGTGAGTGAGTGAGTGAGTGTGTGTGTGTGTGTGTACTGAATGGGATTAACAGCAGGTAAGACACTGCAAAAGAAAAATTAATTTTAAATGATAGCAATAAACACTATCCAAAGTAAAACAGAGAGGAAAAAGACTGGAAACAAAAATGAACAGTACTGGTGAACTATGGGACAATTTAAAACAGTCTAATATATAAGTACTTGGAGTCCCAGAAGGAGAGAGTATATGGACATGAACAGCAAAATTATTTTAAAAAGTAATGGCAGAAATTAGCTAAATTTGATGAAAACGATAAACTCACAGATCCAAGAGGCTCAATGAATCTGAAGGCCAAAAAGGAAGAAAACTACACTAGAGCACAACATAATCAAGTGGCTTAAAATCAGTGACAGAGGATATCTTAAAACAGTCAGAGAAAAGAGACATTACATATAGAGGAACAAAAATGAGGACAGCAGACTTCTTGTCAAAAACAATGCAGGCTAGAAGACAGTGCAGTAAAATCTTTAAAGAGAAAAAAACCTGTCAACTAGAATTCTATATCCAACAAAAAATTCTTTCTAAGACAAAAAATAATGTTGGATATCAACTGTAATTGGAAAAAAAAGTGCAATAAAAACTTTCTTCTGACATACAAATGCTGAAAAAATTCATTATCTGCAGACCTGGACTACAAGAAATGTTAAAAGAAGTCCTTCAAGATGAAGTAAAAGGATACCAAACTGAAATTTGGATCTACAGAAAGAAATAAAGAGCACCAAAAATTGTAAACATGTAAATATAAACTTATTTTTCTTACTAAAAAAAAACTCTATATAACTAACGCAGAAACTACAACAATGCACCACATGGTTTATAACATGTAGAAGTAAACTATATGACCACTATAGCATAAAGACTGGGAGAGGAGCATAAAAATATACTGTAATAAGGTTTTATGCTATACGTGACTTGGTATATTATTACTAGAAGGTAGATTTTTATATAAATTAAAATGTATACTATAAACCCTAAAACAACCTCTAAAAATAAATAAAGAGTAAACTGGTAATAAAGTAATATTATGGGTTGAACTGTATCTCACAAAAAGGTATGCTGAATTCCCAAACCCCAGTACCTGTGAATGCGACCTTATTTGGAAATTGAGTTTTTGTAGCTAAGATGAGGTCATTAGGGTGGGCCCAATTCAATATTACTAATGTCCTTAAAAGAAGAGGGAAATTTGGATACAGAGACACACAGGGAAGATGGCCACGTGGGGACGGAGGCAGATCCTGAATTACGCTACCGCAAACTAAGGAATGCTGAGGGCAACTAGACGCTGAAAGAGAAAAGGAAGGATCCTCATGTGTGTAGATCCTAGAGGCTTCAGAGGTTGCACGGCCCTGTCAACACCTTAATTTTAGATTATAGAGCCTAGTACTGTGAGTGAATACATTTCTGTTGTTTTAAGCCATCCAGTTTGTGATACTTTGTTACAATAGCTGTAGGAAACTAATACAGGCAATAAAGGAGATAAAATGGCATCAATCATACAAAGAACACAAAATTATTAAGTCGATCCTCATAATGAACATACTATTTATTTATTTAGTCTTAAGTGAAACGTATAATAAATTGTTTATATATTCTTTAAGGTTATTCTGCAGGAGGCCTCAGTCTCCTTCTCCTAACTGAGCCCCAGGCAATCACTGTCCCTTGTCTTCAAGCTGGCACTCATGACACTTACCATGCTGGCATTTTAGAAATATTAAGGCCTGTTGTACAGTCAAGGTATATGCACATGTGTGACAGTTTTAAGACTTAATGGTGCATGTTCACTATTTTAGGAGGAGACAGAGTTGTACTTTTCTTTTAAAATATTAGCCACAATTTATTTTTGAGTCCTTGAACAGGAAAAGAAATCCCATTTAACACCATTTCTGGGTGGAAATGAATTCATTATTTGAAGATTTATTGAAAGATTAATTTTATGATCTGTTTATAGAAATGTATAACAGGTTTTCGGGGAGATTGTGGCTTTTGTGGGGGTCGCTCAGGAGGGGAAAAAAAAAGAAATGTATAACAGGGGAAGGGGAGAATGAAACCTATCTGTACTTGACCAATGGAGAAGGTCATGTAAATAAGAAAATTCTTTTGGAGGAGCGTGCAGAATATTCAGTTTAAACAAATTCATGAGAGTAAACTAAAAAGATATTTAGCTAATTCTTGTCTTGATTTGCATTATAATACAACTAAAAATTATACTCATCTTTTCAGCAAGTTAGGAATTTCAAATCTGACATATTCAAAATTTATAATAGTTATTCTAGAATTCTTGCGAGTCTAAACCTGCCTAAACTGAAGTATAACCATAATCATGTTATAGCAGGAAAAGCTGAACAATACCAAATAATGACACTATAATAAATACCTTGTTTGTGGGCCAGAACTTTGTGTTTGTGCAACAAGAACTGGAGTTACCTCTCGACTATTTCCGCTCTGTGAGAAGACAGACTTCGTTCCAGTTTGGCCGATTCTGGCAACAGACTGCAAAACACAAAAAGTCTAAGGTTTGTGAATTATAAACTGCACTGTAAATGATAAAAGACACCATAATGCTCCCATCTACACTGTCCCCAATGAAAGATTTCATAATACTGTCATCTGAAAACACAAACTATTAATGTCATTACTTATGTCACATTAGAAAGAACATCAGCTGATTTCCACATTTTAACCTCAGTATTTTTATCTTTATTCTATCCTTTCACCTTTCTTTTTAGGTTCTGAGGAAAGGCTCAAAACACCTGGAAGCCATTTATCACATATCTTTTCCAGTTGGGGCTAAATGCTAAAGAGTTTTAAGACAGCTATAGTCTCAAGATTTATGATCTAACTTAGTATACATAAAAAGTTATAATACAATAAAATTTTATATTCCTTCTTTGCCATTTAGTAAAAACATTCTATACAAGTATCCCCCCCCCACTTTTTAAAAGTTCGTGTTTCACCACTTTGCTTTTACAAAAGACCTACAATAGTATCTGTTTTCAATAACCAAAAGAAACCTGAAGAGAATTTTCCATTTTATGAAAATAGTGAAAAGCGAAAGTAGTGTTCAGCGTTTCTTTGGCAGTGAGTTGTCAGAGAAGCATCACCAGCCCCCTGGCAGCGAGAGTGGCACCACCAAGCTCCTTTCCTGGGAACTACACTCAGCATTTCAACATTGAGCTGCCATAGGTTTGACCTGTGTCTGTGCTTTATCTCAATTTATTTTGTGCATCTGTTAGCAAGATGTGCCCTAAAGTATCAGAAGAGCCTAAGAGAGCCCGTAAGGATGTTATGTTTAGCGAATAACTGGATGTAATTAAGTGTTTCAATCCTGGTGAATGAAATAAAGACATTGTGCGTGCACTGAATTTTGGGTCTGGGAATGTTCAAAATTTTTCCATATAAATTAATGGTAACTGCGTCCTTGCTTTAAGCCATTTTGGCTTACAAAGGTTTCATGAATGCTCTATTTTTGGATAGCAGGGGAAACCTATGTTAGAGTAGATTAAAAAAGGAATCATCCAATTATTTCCCAAATTCTAAGGATATTGCTCTTAGAGTTAATATTTCTTTGTGGTGTATTTAATCTTTCATTAATTAGTCTTTGCTCCCTCAGAGGGGGAAAAAAAAACCTTTGCTTGCCCCTGTCTTCTCTAATTTATCACTTGATTTTTATTCATTTTCTCACTTAACTTCTTTATAAAGTGATCTATGATTACTGTTAGTGGATATTTAAAATTTCTTTACTATAATTTTCTTTAAAACTTAACTGCTATTTCAAAACTCAAACTGCACATTACAAATAATCACTGATAATCACTTTCTCACCAGATGAAAGTCTTATTTTGGTCTTTCCCGCATTCATCATCACTGATCATCCCCTCCTTTTTGAAACTTTGTATTAACTTCCAAAATAGTACAGTATCTTTATTGTTTGTCTTACCACTTGATTTGCTGGCCCTTCTTCCTTCCACTAATGTGCTCCTTAGCTACTCTCTTTCCCTAGGAGAGCCTGGCCATTTCACCAGCTTTAATTATGATTTCTACCATCAGGCCATATTCTTTCCTCTGTGAATAACTATCCACTGAATATTTTCATCTAGTCTCCCCCCACCTTAAAATAAAACTTTATACTCCTTCCTCCTCCTCCTCCATTCACTCAAGGGACAAAACTTCAATTCTGGTTTTTCCTTATATAACAAAGAACTGTGTACTGCACTCAGTACTTGGTTTGATATTTTTAGTTGATACTGCATGTGGACCTACAAGTATAGCTTTTCTAAGACTGTCTTGCAATAGGGTAATGAGAGAACAGAAGCATAGGGGTGGGACAATAAGTGGCTTTTATTATCTGGGCACTGAAATCATACACTTCTTTGCTGCCTAACATGTCCTTGATGGCAATGGCTTGCCTGGTTTTGCTAACTACCACGCTACTATGCCTTCTCATAACTTAATAAGAAATTAATTAATAAATTAATTTCTATAATTATATTTTACTCCCATTAACAACACAATAGCAGGTAGTTGCCAACTTTTAGAAATCATATTTAAAATTATCCACACATGAACTACTTTGCAGTCCCCTTTTCTACCACTCTTGGAGTTCCTATTATCACTGATACTCATTGAGGAGCTAATATAGAAAAACATTTTTACAGACCCTAAGGAAGTTCAGGAGTAAAAGAATAAAACCAAGAGGAAACATGTCTCTAGGAGAGTAAACAGGCTATCTTAGTCATTCACACACTAGTCTGACTTATTAGCCTCCATTTCTTAAACATTTATTAAGCACGGCAATTGGCATTTTACACACATAACCTACTCTAATTCTCACAGAAGATATCCTGCACCACAGATATCTTTTAAACAAATGGCACTTTGGCCTTGATTGCCACAAGCCTTTATAAAAGAACATAAAGAGAATCTCAAAACTTGTTACAGTATTTACTATAAGAATATTGTCAAATATTTTTCATTTTATTACACATTTACTATACATTTACTACACATCTATGAGTATCCACCATAAGAATTTTACTATCAAAAATAGCTGGCTTTACGCAAGTCAATCTTTTTTTCATTTTGATGTTAGTATAACTAAAAAACAAAAGGTGGGGACAAGTAAAAACTATGGCAGGTATAATTTCTTATTTATACTCAAAGTGACAGAAGCAACCTGAATTTCATAAAAAAAGGAAATTAAAAGTAAAAATCTGAATATGCTCTATGGTGAAATAAACTATACTTGTGAGTTATAATCTTACGTGGACAAAAGAGCAACCAGCTCTGTGTCTCCAACTATGATCAGGAGGCTATGAGAATGAGAACCTTCTTTTACAGTCAACAACTCTAAGGCAGCAACAATTGTATAAAGAGTCTCTCTGAAATTGCTTTTAACAGGTTGGCATTTTAAATGAATTTCTTTCATCAATATCAAAATTGTATTTTACATAAAAAATACCTTTTTTGAAGGGGCTCCGGTGGGTGGCACGTCAATTACAGAAGATGTATTAGTGTAGTTTTGTAAATAGGATCCATCTCCAGGACTTGGGGTTTCTAATGGCAAAATCCCAAAACTGAGAAGAGGTTGAAATCAAGGTGTCAAAAAGTCATCAAGGCATATATAAAGCAGCAGTATACTTAAATTAGAAGGTCTAAAAGGAAGAGAATGGCAAATCAGTCTTGGGGGCAGTGAGGGTCTAAGGGGCAGATTAAAAATAAGCCGTGATGTAGACTATTCCACCCACCATAACTAAACTTAAAAAACCAATCAAACAAGACTACTGAGCAGCAACTACTGATCTCAGGAGATTTACTAGAAATAAATAAAAGTGGCTTTGTAAAAGCTAAGTTCCAAATGATCAAATTACTTCAAATTCTTGAAATGTAGACACTATTACACAGAAAGTGTCTCTAGAGACCACTGAATCCATTTGTGGATCAAGGAGTTGTAATCTCATGGTTATGCTATTTTATTAGCTCCCTGGCTCTGGGACCGAAACCATAGTCTGTTCTAGCATATAATTTTTTATTGTGATAATTTTGGATATGTATCCTTTGGATATGAACAGGGCTGGGTTTCTGTATTTACACATACATATACATCTAATGATTTTGACAGAATATTTCATATTGATAGGTGTCATTCCTTCCTCCATGTTTTGGAAAACAGCATTTTAACAATAACCACTGCTATCACTGATTGCTACCATAAGCATTCCAACATTCCAAGAGGTTTGCTGCTATTCACTGATGCACAGCCATAAAGACAATATCTTTTAATGCAAACACTAGCTGAATAAGGCATATTTAAGAGTTTTACATTTTCTCCAATATTTAATATTAATATTTTAATCACAGGCACTGTATTTTCTTTATTTCTTTACTTCATTTTCTGAAAACAGAATAGATCCATTATTGACTTATTAAACGCCTCTATTTCCATGATTTAGAAGTTGCTGTTCATATTAATTTATATTACTAATAATATGAATTATTATAAGATCATTTAATATTACAGCACATTTTAAACTATCTTTTGCTTGTCTTACCTGGGGGTTAATGGGCTAAGAGCAGCTGGTCCTCCTAATAAGCTTCGACCAGTTTTTGGTTTATTTTGAACCTGTTTAGATAATATAGAAGTTCCTGTTCCAAGAGGGACAGTATCTGGTGAAATTACAGCTGAATCAATATAAGACACTGAGGAATCTGTATTCAAGGAATACTTTGAATTGGAAGATTCTAAATTCAGTCTGTTTAATTCCTGAAACAGAAAATTTCTACCATGTCATTTACAATACATTACTTAGTTCAGATCATTCTTTTTTGTTTTCATAATATTTTGAACACTAGAGTATGATACACTTACAATTGTGTCCTGGGGTGTTTCCGTAAGAACTGTCTCAGGCTGTCTGTGAGATAAATTATGATTAGATACTACTGTTGTGCAAGAGTTGGGCAGACAGTTGCTAAAGTTCTGTAAAGATGTTAATTTAAACGTTTGGTCAGGATCTGGCTTTTCACCTGTGAAGACAAAAAAAAAAAAAGTCCTGAGGAATTGAGGATTTTTTTTTCCAGGTATGCATAAATCAGTGGAAATACGCACTTATCCAGAGTTTTAAAGTTCTCCTGTCTGTTTCTGCTCATCATATTTACCTCCCAAAGCCCATCTATCAATTCATTGCAAAAGTTTACCCCTAAGATAAAGCTGTAAATTTAGGAAGTAAACTAAACTGTAATGACATTGATTTTAAATATAACAAATCAGAGGAAAATGCAGATTTGTTTGTTTTAAAGCAGAAAACAAAGATCTAGATCTCATTTTGCCTAAGGTAAGGAGTGAAGCTGGAGAGTTGAAACCCAGTAGATATTACAGTCAAGTCTGAAGCACTTCCATGTATATAGACATACAATATTTTAAAACGATCCTTCATGCATCCCAGAGCATATATACTGAGATACTCTCGCCCCACATTTTCCAGGTCTTATTTATGTAGTAGTTTCTGCTTTGGGGATGCTATTCATTTCTATTCTTATCCAAAAAGCTATTTTGGCTAGTGTTATAATACAACTCATTCTAAAAGACAAAAGAAAGGCCACATTATTCCTGAAACATATCTGCCTTATTTCTTGTTCTCAATTTTAACAACCCTTAGCTTTGAAAAATATTTTTCTTGTGGATAATTTGTATCACTTTTCAAAAACTAAGCAGGGGGTAAAAGGGAAAGGAAATGGGGGAACTCTCCCCCAGCCACCTCTACAAACCTACCTATTTCACATAATGATTCAAAGGGGGACCAGAGGAAAGGATTTAAACTAAGGCTCTTTTGGTAACATTCTGATCCTTTGGCAAGCCGATCTGTCTTGCTGTAAAGACAAACAAATAGATTAGACAAGCTACAAAACTCAAAATATTTATTATAACGAAATTTTTGGTACAGAAATTAGGTAAGTCTTGTATAAAGTTCTGAGAATACTCTTCTTGATGCTTTCCTAGATCACCAATTTCCCCTTCTTGCCATCCTCCAATCTCTATTATTTAGGGCAGTTCAAGTCAAAATTCAGGTGAAACCAAACCGAGCATGAATTGAAAGGAATGCTAAAGAAAGACGCTATCAATGCCTTCTTGAATATTACAATGCTGTAAATTTACTGTCAGATACTAGAATTACTGAAGGAGATATGAAAAACATCCAAATATTTTGGTCTCATTCTTAATTTTTAATATAATATCCCAATGGTTATTTTGAAAGTGGCTTAAATGCTTTGAATGTAGCATATTTATATGATCAGATTTTCAAACAAAGTAGGGATAGTAGCTCTTAATGAAAGAAAAATGTTTCTTTATAAATCAGGTGTATAAAAGCTTACATTGAACCCTGAAACCCTATATACTTGAAACACTCTGGAAATTAACATTAGACCAGCACCATTGCCTCCCTAGCTTTTAAATGGGAGGGAAGATTGGGTTGAGGGTTAGTGAGACTCATTGATGCTTTCAGGTAAAAAATACTAATTACCTGGTCTGAGGTTGAAATTCCTCATTGTCTAATGGAAAAAAATTAAGATACAGCAATTCTTCCAAAACTCTAAGGTTTATTAAAGCACCAGATGGCATCTAACCAAGATTTTCAAAAGAACCCTCAAGTATCAGCTAAAACATATAATCTGTTTAGGTGCTGTCATTGTAATCTCAGACAAATGTAAAGAAGACCCCCTGGGGGAACTAGATATTAGTTTGCCTCATTTCGAAATTTTGCGAGTAGAAACAAGAATAATTTATGTATTAAAGAAAATACCACCAGTTGAAGGCTAACTAGCTCCCCACACTTGCTTGATTTGACTCAATAAACACACGGACAGAGGGATGCAGGGGCAGGTGACAGACTTGAGAAAATGTAAGTTTTATTAAAGTCTATACTTCAGACCATTAGAAGGAATTTGTTAAAGAAAAAATAATTGTCACAAGAATTATGTAATCATTTACCATGGATTGAGGGCTAACCGAAGAATAGGAAATGAAGAAAAGACATACAAGCATTTTTTTCGAAGTACCGTATTTGCCGGCATATAAGACGACTGGGCGTATAAGACGACCCCCTAACATTTCCACTCAAAATACAGAGTTTGTTATATACTCGCCGTATAAGACTACCCCCTCTTCCGCACACCTTCCACACACCAAATAAAAGGTAAAACAATATCAGATTTGATTTGGCCCACTGAAGTGCAAACAAGCGTATTGTATTTCGTGTCACCACATAACCGTTTTGGCGATGTTGAGCCACCATGTCTGCTACATGTTTTTCGAGTTCTGGCCAGTGTGGGGTGCCTCTTCTTAATGCACACTTACCCCTTGGCATACTCTTTAATGCTTTCTCATTTGATTTCCAGTCCCGAACCATCTTTTCTGTTACTCCATATTGTCTTGCAGCAGCACAATTATTATTTTCCTTAGCAAAGTTTATAACTTTCAGTTTAAAATTTGCATCATACTTCTTTCTTTTGGCTGGTGCCATGATAGGGATGATAGGGGTTTGACTGGTCGACATTTTCTATGCTGTACTGTACAATGGTGCAGTATTGTGGTTGGCTGTTGGCTGTATACAAAGCCTAATTTGATTGGTCCCTGCTCCCTGTTTGCCCGCCCTGTCACTATAGCAGTCTGGTCCACCCTTGCATCAGCATCTCCCTGGGACCTCACTAGTGCGCAAGTGCGAGCTCTTCAACATTCTAACAGGCACCATGATAGCGCAAAATTGCGAATCTTCAATGCATATGTAAAGAAATATACGGTAACCCGAATTTACCACACTCGCAAAATCGCACGCAGCCGACCATACACCCAGTATGGTATCGCGATTGGCGATTTTGCGCTATCATACTGGGTGTATGGTCGGCTGTGTGCGATTTTGCGAGTGTGGTAAAATCGCATAACAGCCGAGCATACACCCAGCAGCGCTGCTGGTGCCTGAACGGTATGTGGAATGAAGTGGGCGGGCATCGGGAGGCCACTATGGCACGGGGCAAGCACTATGGGCAGTCTATCTGAAGTGTACCTGGCGTATAAGACGACCCCCCACTTGGAGGCATATTTTTCAGGGCCAAAAAATCGTCTTATACGCCGGCAAATACGGTAACAGAAGTGGAAAGTGGCAAGGCAATGCTTGGGAACTTTTAGCATAAGGCCAGGAAAAGGAAAACACAGTGAAATCTCAATGTTCGAGGATTATCCTAATTTTCCAAGAGTTCTTATTGCTTCTCACCTGAAGTAATTCAGGTTAATAGTCCCCTCATCTCTTTTGTAATTGATCATAAGCTTACTGCAGAAATTAGGTCTTTCTCAATTTTATGTTATCTCTTTCCTGTTTTCAAGTAGCATCATCCCCTTGCTTTGCTTGCACAATGTAACATAAAACACACTTTTATTAATAATTTTTAAAGTTGCAACGAATAGGCTGTATGAATTATTTAAAGGCCAGAAAAGTGGCGAATAAACTGATTTAAGCAAAGATAAAATAATCTACTCATGGAAAAATATTCTGGAAAAGTAACAGGTGATCCTTTGTGTTGAAACTCCTCTACTCCAGTATTATTTAAACTTTATTTTTATTTTACTGAAAGGAAAATTATTTTAAACTTTGGTAAGTTGGCAAGGCTAATTTTTATAAGCCATAATCTGATTAACAGACTATAAAATAAAAGAAATTTAAAACAAAATTAGTGTTTTAAAAGAAGAGATTAGATACACATGCACACACACATATATATATATATATAGACACACAGAGAGAAAAATATACATATATGTATAAATAATATAAGAACTAACTGGGGAAGAAGCCACGTATGGAATTATACTGAAACTTGCCTTCAAGTCTCTTTCTAAGGAGTAGCAGTGATATTCAATATTAGAGAAAAAAGTTCACTCTTTTTTTTCTTTATCTTCAGTGGATCACATGAAGATATTCTCCTCAACCGAGGTAAAAAATCCACATGCGCACTCAATTGTTAGCTAGTGCTGCTGTAGCTATTATCATTAAGGCGAAGTGCATAGTCAAAAATGGGATCAGCATTTCTACCATTTAACAGGCTTAACAAGATCTTGGAATTAGCTGTACTACTCAGCCAAGTGCTATTTGATAAACACAGATCAACATAGGTTTTCAAAAACACAAAGCATTCTAGTATTGAAAACAATTTTTTTGTAATTTGAATGATGCCTTACCAATATACATGTCCCAACAATGAAAGAGTAAAGCAGGCTGAATCACCGAACTCAGTAACAATATCATCATGGCTTTTCTGTTTATTAAACACTCCACCAGATAAGATCTGTTCCCCTTCTGCAAGCCTTTAAAACACAAATTTAGAGATTAAAAAAAGTCAATATAAAAATCCCTGAGTGTAAAGACATTGTTCATTACCTATGTACCACTTACTGGAGAGACAGATGAAGTAAGAAGTTCATGGTACCTTTAGAATACCAATAAACTTGTATTTAGAAATCATTTGAGAGACTGGGAATTTATGATCTTAAAATCCTTGTCTTGCCTTTAAAAATAGAACCAGTTAAATTTAGTCACTATATGTACAAATCTTGTCTGAACAACATACATATTACTAATGTCAAAAGAAATGGAAGACCATTATACTGGGGAAAAAATATTAATGTTTTTTTATTAACAGATGTGGTGACCCTTCTTAGTTCTATAATTCCTTGAAATAAAAATATGCAAGCAAATTAAATTAGACTAACACATTTTAATTAAAAACTGCATACTTAAGGCCTCAGTCATTTTTAGGTTTATAAATGAAACCTGAATAGACTTCATCTCTTTTTGTCAATTATAGAAAATCACAAATATTCCCTAAAGAAAAAAAATGTGCCTGATTTCAGTATATATTTTTGGCATATCAGTTTATAATGGTTTGTATTTTGAAGTTTTTTCCAATCATGCAGAAAACTCTCAAGTACATTTACACATAAAAGGTAATATCTAAAGTTCTTTTACTGTCAGTGGGATTTTTAAAAAACTATAAATATTTGTAAGTGGGATAAGGATATTTAATGTAAGAAGTGGCTTAAGAAGCTGGTAAATTAAATAAATGGATATTAAAGAATTTAAGATCAGAATCTTTGGAATAAAAGTAATTCAATAACAAATGCTCAGAAACTTTATAGACATAGTAGCTAGCTTTAATTTAAAAGTCATCAATTAGACACTGGACAAGTAAAATATTTATTAAATTATGGAGATTTTGTGAAGCTTATTTGTATCCTTTCACTGCAAACTTACAAACCAAATCAATCAGAGTTTAATCCATCAAAAGATTTTAACCCAAATCTCTACTACCAAAAAAAGGGGGAAAAGGGAATCAAACAGAGTTTAATCCATCAAAAGATTTTAAGCAAAATTCTACAATATAAGTAGGAATGAAATTAGAAAATATTTTTAAAAACTTACTTGCTGAGATCAACACAACATTTCGCAAGCAGGTATTTACATTGTGGTGTTGTACAGCTGTGTCCTTTCAAGAGTCGATACGCTTTATATGCCTTTCCTGAGCGGTAATAACAGGTTGCCAATAAAAACAAGGCTTCTTCTGAGTGTACTAAGAACACATGTGGGGGAAAAAAAGGCTATTCAGTAGGCTGAATGGCAATCATGGTTTATCTGGCAATAAACAAGTTTAGCAATAACAAAATTAGGCATGTTATTTGTTGTAATTTAAAACATTAACCCAAATTTGAATTAAGGAGAAATACTTTATTGATAGAAAAGTTAGTTCCCTGAATCCTGATTACCTTCTTCCTACAAGGAACCAAGGGGATACAGTGAAGACAATCATGGTATTCTCTGTAAATCCTTAAGAAAAGTGCGCGCGCACGCACGCACGCACGCACGCACGCACGCACGCACGCAC